GAGGAAGGATGAATGCCCTGACTGGACCTCCGGCAGCTTCTGCTGCACAAGGCTCTCTGTCCAGTCAGCCCAGCATGGTGGAAAAGTAGAGATCCAGGCATTGTAATTTGCTCCCAATAAATACGAAATCGAAATCATGGTCCTCTTCTGCCTTCCCCCAGTGCAATTCCTCAAATGCGCCAGGGCCTTGTTTTGCCTGGGGATTCCCTTGACATGCCATTTCCTGTAATTCAAGGATTAAGTTTGAAAACATTCACAATACTTGAGGAGGAGACCCCCTCAGACAAAGGGCCACCCCCCTTCGGCTGCAGGAGGCCAGTGCAAGACTAATCAATGCACAGTCATTCCGTCCCCACACAGCCCATTCCCATCCTCCCAACTTCATGACCTCAAAATAAAATGTTCCTTCGCATGAACTGCAGCACCTCGTGCAGCTCAAAGGAACGTTGATAAAGGAAGCAAGAGGCGATTGTTTGGGGAAATAAAACCAACCGCTTTGCTGTGGAATTAAAGGTCAGGAAGGCGGCAGGGAACAATTTGCCTCTTTTGGAAAGTTTTGAAAAGCTGTTTGGGTTTTATCCCATTTAAATACTATTCTTTCAGAGAATTCTTTGGAGCATGAAAATTCCTCCGGCTGGGTTCAAGTTGCTCCCTCGAGGTGCCCTTCTCTGGTTTCCTTTTGGGGAAAACAAAACACAGAACGGGTTTGCAGCTGCTGTGCAGTCCTGACAGGGAAAGGGTTCTGGGGCTCCGGGAGTCCTTTGGGCCGAGACCTGGGCGGCTGGAATTCAGACCACACCTGTCCCACGTGGGCATTTGAAGGGTGCACCCTCCTCGGCTAGGTATTGCCAACAGGTCTCAGACCCCCTCAAAAGACGGGGGACTGCTCGCCATTAAAGCTGCCACTCTCCGGGCATATCTGAATGGCTGGGAACTCCGTTGCACACGAGGCCGCCCGGCTGGGGCACTTCCTCTGCAGCAGTCCTCCTCTGAGGCGGGAGCAGCAACAGAGGCGGAAAGGGCTCTGGCGGAGACCCCCAGGGAAGCTGGAAAAGCCGGCACCAAAGGGAGCCTGGAGTGCTGATCCTGGGTAAGGTGGAACACGTCCCGTAAAGTCCAGCCGGACAGGATGGGGTGGGGCTGGGCCTCCGGCTCGGAGCAGCCAGCCACGCCGAGGGGAAGGAACTCCCCTGGCCCTCTGGCCAGATAAGGATGCCGCCGGTGCAGCCCACTCGGTTCTCTCTCTATGGCTGGCCACTTCGTTGACACTTTTAAAAATCCTGCAGACAAGACAACACTAGCTTGTTCCAGGGGTTTCTGTTGCCAGGCAATTCGACCCAGCGCTGTCCTTGGAATCGTGGGCGGCTGATGCAGCAAGCGCACCTTCCACCTGCTCCCTCTGGTCCATCAAAGACCATGTCCTTACCTGATAGGCAGAGCCTGGAAACATACCCCATGCTCTGGCGACCTCCCGCTTGGACTACTGTAATGCGCTCTACATGGGGCTGCCCTTCAAGACAGCCCTGATACTACAGAATAGAACAGTGAGGCTGGTGACTGGGACTGGTAGGCAAGATCAAGTACCAGCAGTCCTGTCTCCTCTCCGCTGGTTACCGATTGAAGAGTCCAGACCTGCTTTAAGGTGTTAATGCTGATGTACAAAGCTCCACATGTCTCCTTCCATGTGCACCTGCCCCAAGAGCATTTGCGGAGGCCCATCTCTGGGAGCCCTCTTCACAGCACGGTCGCCAGGGGAAGGCCCTTCCTAGTGACGGCGCTCCAACCGCAGAGTCTGCTCTCCAGGGAGGTACTCCTGGCACCGACTCTATTCTTTTCGCCACCAGGTTCAACACTTCTTACCTTCCCAGTATTTTAACAACTGAATGACTTATTATATCTTTTATATATTGTATGCCGCTCTTTATTGAAGTGCTGTTGGTATTTTTTGTAAACTGCCTTGAGATTTAATTGAAATATTCAACACTAGATACATGTTTTAAATAAATAAATAAATTTGTTTAAAATAAACATAGTTCTGGAGATTTTAAAATGTTAGAGGCAGAGTTTCCTCAAATTGCAATTATTTACTATTAAAACTCATGTTTCATGTCATTTCTTTAAATAAATGTGTATCTTTACCAAAAAGATTAAAATGCCCCTTTGAGTTCATGCCCCCCTCCCCAGTGAAAAGTCCTTTTTAGAAAGCTTGGGATTATTTTTAGGGGGCTGGAAAAAATAAAACAGGTCGCAACGACTCCCAAGCAAACAGGTGCAAAGCTGCCTCTTCCCAGGTCAGTCCAGCAGGCCGCTGAGCCGGGGGTACTTGCACTGCCGAGCAGCTCTGAGGGATCCACACCCTGCGCACGCCACAGCGCCTCCGGAATGGGTCTCCTCAGTGCTCCCTGAACCACACCGGGTGCAGCAGGCCCCGTCAACAGGCACTGGGTGCAGCAGGCTCAGAACCACAGAGCGTGGCACCCCTGTGGAAAGGAGCCCTGTGAGCTGGGCCAATAGCTGTGGAGAGGCAGGCAAGCTTTCGGGCTTCACCGGTCGCTTGGTCAGGTGGCGTTTGACTGGAACCCACGATTCAGCGCCTCGCTGGTCTTCCACTTTCCCAGCCTGCTTGTGTTCTCCAGGGAGCCTTGCCCTCTCATGGTGTGCCCCAAGTACAGCAGCGTCGGTTTTGTCATTTCTGCTTTCAGGGAAAAGTTCTGACCTGGACTGGATCCAGGACCAACTAGTCCCCCTTTTGCAAAGCTCTCTTCCAGCACCACACTTTGGATGCGTCGGTATTCTTCCTGTCAGCTTCTTCACAGTCCAGCTTCCACACCCAGGCATGGTGAGCGGGGACACAGTCATGGACACCTATCTGGCGCTGGTCTCTGGTGAAGCACCTGATGTGCTTTCCTACTTCCTTCACCGCTGCCCTTCCACGGCTGAGCTGTCTTCTAGCTGCCTGGCTGGCTGCACTGATGACTCACCCAAGGAATGCAGAATCTTTCGCAATCTCGGTTTCTCCACTGTTGACATTACAGTTGTTTACTTTTCTGCAGTCCTGGTCTTTGTTTGCTTCACGCTCACCAGTAGGCCTGCTTTGCTTTCACTTTCCTCACTTTCAGGTCCTTATTTATTTTATTATTTTGCTTTATTTAGAACATTTCTATGCCGCCCCATTCGCAAAAAGCCTCGGGGCGGCTTACAAAACAAACAAACATAATTACCTAAAAAATCCGGAGACATCTCAGCACAGAAAGAAAAGCAATAAATACAATGAACAACTAAGGTAACGTTGAAATAAAAAGGTCTTGGCCTGGCGCCGAAAAGCAAACAGCGGCGGCGCCAGGCGGCCCTCTCTGGGGAGCGCGTGCCTCAGGCAGGGCGCCACCGCAGAGAAGGCCCTGCCCCGGGTGCTTGGCCTCCCGACCTCTTTCACGGAGAAGGGCCTCTGCCGCTGATCGAGGGTTAGTTCGCCTACACGAACCCGCTCCGTCCCTCCGCCTTCTGCCCCAGGACTGGCGGCAGCAGCAGCGCGCGGCCCCCCAGGCCCAGAGCGGCCTCTGCTGGGCCCCGCGGGAAGCCGAGCGCGCGGCCGCCCCGCCTCAGAGCCCGGCGGGATCAAACAGCGGCCCGGCCCGGCCCCGCGCCCGCGCCCGCTTGCGCTGCCCCGCCGGTCGCGGCTCAGGCCCGCTCGCACGAGCGTCCCGGGCGGCGCCTCCTCCGAGCCCCGCTCTGCTGCCGCCCGCACTCGGAAGCGCCCGCGTGGCGCCCGCGGATGGCGCCGCTTCCGCCGCAGCCCGCGCGGGGCCACTGCAAGGCGCGGGCGGCCGCGCCTCCGGGGAGGAAGGCCTCGCTCACTGGACGGCGCCCCACGTCCCCGCGCGCTGTCCCTTTAAGGCGAAGCCCCTTCCTGCCGCCATCTAGCCAATCGCCAGCCTCCGTTGCGACGTGGCCCTGCCTCTTCAAGGCGGGGCCACGAGCTTGCGCTCCCCATTGGCTCCAGGCGCCGTTTTTTAATTAAAAAGTACGACTAGGGGCCGCCGTTTAGCCACTGCGTCCACTCCGGCCCTCGGATTGGCTGTCGTTGGACCAATCGATGGCCGTCCTTTGCCAATGTAGCAATTTTCAAATCTGCACTTCGTGCTGCGGGGGAGGCGACGCTGACTGCCAGCGCCGGAGCGGCAGCGACGCGGAGCCGGGACCCGCCGGGCCTAGGTGCGCTCCTCGCCGCCTTGCTCCCTTTCCTCGCCGCGGGCCGCCGGCCGCCGCGCCTCGGGCGACTGCCTCGCACCGCACCCCGCGCTGGCCGAGGGCGAGGGGCTGCGATGAGCTTCCCTTCTCCCCGACTTAGTGCCCGGAGGCCAGGCCTCTGCCGATTGCCCTGGGCGAGCTTTCTTCTTGCCCCGCTCCTCCCGGACTCGCGCGTGGATCGATGCCACCCTTAAGCCTAACAAGAAGCCCCAGTCCCCGCTTGCGCGCAGGCTGCACTCCCCCCTCCCCGCACACGCACACGCACGCCCTTGCACGTGTTTCTCGGCGTCCGCTCTGTCGGACTCCGTGAGTTTACTCCGTAGTATTGCTCTGCAAGCTCGAGCCTGGCCCTGGCCTGCCGCATTTTATCCTCCCGGGAGGGTTGGCTTCGTAGTCTTCCTGTTTAGCGTGTCCTCCTGCTATTACCATCTCTCATATTCTCTTCCCCAGTAGGACAGGGGTTTATGTGGAGCAGATGTCCATCCGGTGAGGCGGAATTTGTGGGTGTTTTCCCCGAAGAGTGGGCAAACCTGCTGTTTGTAGGTCCAATGCTCTCTTCGACTTATGGCAGTTTGGCCACAATAGCTTCTGCCTCCTCACCTAGTCCAGGTTCCTCATGAGGTGACAGCACAGGGCAGCTGGGACAGCTCTCCCAGGGCATCTGCTGGGATACTCTCCGAGAAGGTAACTTTTCTGTCTCCCTCCTCCTCCTCCTCCTCCAGATTTGCTTGAGGAGGCTGGAAACAGGCAGGATGCCGCACCCACGCAACTCCAGGAGCGTGAGCTCGAAGCAGTCGTGGCCAGGCAAAGCGGTCTCGGTGGAAAACACGCAAGCCGAGAAGGTGAGCTGGGGCAGCTGGAGCTGCTCCCCATAACACACACCTCCTATCCTGTGTGGGAGAGATGGCCAAGCAACAGTTCTCCGGGGCTACCTCAGTGCGGCTGGCCAGTGTTGAGGCTGGGGGAGCCGGACTGCCCTTCTGGGTCATTTCTGGAGGCAGCGCTCTGGCAGTGGGAACCTCGTGACCTTAGGGAAAACCCAGGCAAAGCTGGGGGAGTGCACCTGCCCTTGAGCTGGGATTGCGGCTTCCTGGAAGCAGCTGGTCGGCCATGCCTGGATGTGGGACCTTGGGCAGGGCAGACCGAACGGAGAGGAGACCTGAGGCACGTCATGCCCTGCGCTCGGTTCCCCACAGCTGCCAGCCAGAGACCTCAGCGAGAAGCCCATCAGCACAGGAACAACCTAATTCCCCTCTTCCCCCCCGGTGAACCTCAGGGGCCTGGTGCCTTCTTTAGCAGGGCTTCTAGAGCTGTCCAAAGGCGTGCCCGTCGCTGCCTCCCACGGGTGTGGACTCCGTGGCTCAGTTCCGCGCTAGATGCGGAGGGCCTTCCTGGGATCTGCCCTGACTCTCCCACCGACCAACTTCGTGGGAAGTGTTCTGAGGATGGGCCTCCGGGTGCACGAGGCGGGGCGGCCCCAGGACAGCTGAGGCACAAGCCTCTGCTGCAGGCAGCCTGGGAGAGATGGCCGGCCCGGCGCTGACTGGTTTTTTCATCCTACTGCCCTAGGAGGAGAGCTCTCAGACCAAGCGGTCCCCCTCCTCACCCCAGGGGGCACCCAAAAAGCGCTCTGCCTTTGGGGATATCACCAACGTGAGTATGGAGCCTTGGTCTGTGGCCGAAGGCTGCGTGGGGAGTGGCGCAGCTGCTCTGAGCTCTTAGCATGGTGTTGACTTTGGACATGTGGAGCGAGGCGGGGAGGGGTGGGTCTGCCCCAGACTTCCCCTCTTGCACCAGTAAGGATGGGTCTTTCCCATGGCCCAGCAGAGCGGGGAGAGCGGGGGATTGTCGGCGTGCATCGCTGCCTTGCCCAGAGCCAGGCGCCTGCTTCCTCCGGTGCCATCCCAACCAGTGGTCTCTTCCTCGCAGGCTCACAAGACGCAGCAGCTGGGGGGGAAGAAGGAGGCAGCGAAGTCGGTTTCCAAGAAGGTGCCAAAGGGCTTGGCAGTGGTGCCTGTTGCCAAGAACAATGAGATCAACCTGAAAAAGTAAGGGCAGGAAGAGGCATTTTCTGGGAAGTGATGCTCCGTCTCCCCTCTTACTGTTGCCGTCCTCTTGGCTGTGGCAGCTGGACTGAATTCCTGCGGCGTTGCGGGAGAGAAGCGCGTGCTCTGGAGCTGGTCCGGCACAGGCTGCGGCCCAGGGTGGGACAGCCGCGGACCTCAGCGACTGCCCAGCAAGATGCTGGACTGGGGCTGCAGGTGTTCACTGTGGGGGGGATGCCTCCCTCCTGGCCTGACAGAGGTTGCTGATGGGACGAGAGTTCTCTGGTTGGCTGCGGGTCACTCGCCCACAGGGAAGCCATGGCCCTTATGCCAGCACCAAACTGCCACTGCAGCTAAGAAAGGGGCAGCTGCCTGCCTGAGCAGGACCCCTCGGAAGTGCCCTGTCCTGCCCTGCCCGAGCCAAGCAAGGCCACCTGGTGGAGTGTGGCTCCTCCCTCACCGGTCCCACGCCCCTCTGCCTCCCACCAGGCCCTGCTGCATCAAGGGGGCAGAGCCAGCAGTGGACCAGCCTCGGGCCAGCCAGGATTTGTCCACGGGTCACCCGATTTAAAGGTGTCCCAAGAGGCTTCGGCTAACTGGGAAGGGAGCGGCTGCTTTGCCCAGGCAGCAGGGAAAGCTTCAAGTCCTGAGACTTTTGTGTAGGGCGGGATAGAAAAGCCTTAGAAATAAATACGTTCCAGTGCAAGCGGCTGTGCTCGCTGGACCTCCCAGGGGTCCGCGTGCCACTGGGCTGTTTCTTTCGCTCCAGAGCGCCCCCTTCCCGCGCCTCCTTGGGGGCCAGTGTCCCTTCCCGGAGGATCTAGGCTGCCTCGGGGTGCCTGGAGATCGTAGAGCAGCAGTGAACGGCACGCAGATGCGGGCATACGAGGCGCCTCCCCAGCCACGGCTCGGTCGCGGGCCTTGTCCCAAGAGCAGGGCCGAGGCCCCCTCACTAATCCAAAGGGCGCACGCCCCCTCCGGGGGCCACAAGTCAGGAGACGCCCTCTGCAGTGGGGCCTTGGGGGCCCCAAAGCTGGTGGTGTTTTTCCATGTCTCTTATTTTAGGAAGTCTCTAGCCCTCACTGGGGCGGGACTAAAATGGGCTTGGGGCAGGCCGTTTTGTTTGAAGGGGGTGAAACTGGGCCGGCGGTGATGCACAGGACCGCAGAGGGATCTGTGGGGCCGTTCCTGGGAAAGGCCATCCTTGCCGGCGGCACAGTGGCTCTTCCTTGGCTCCCACTATGGGCTCGGGATCGTTTGTCCAGGCTTGAGCCGGCATTCGCTGCGGGTCGTCTGGCTCCGTCTTTTCTCAAGGCCAGCAGTCCAGCAAGGAGTGCCGGCCCCTGGGCTGGTGTGTCAGGCCGGCGGGGGCTGCATCTCTCACCTGGCCTGCCTCTTTCAGGTCCCTGAACCAAATTCCCTCGGTGGAGGCGCCGGCTGAAACCGACCACACAAAGGGCCGGACAGCAGGGGACGCTCCTGTGCCGACTCCAGCAGAAGACACAGCAGTGCCGGTACAGAGAAGCCGCGTGTGGTGGGGCTCGCGTGCGAGCTGGAGGCTCCCGGGCCGAATGGGCGCGGGCCGCGTCTTGCCTGTGCACCTGCAGCGCCGGCCCTCCCCACAGAGGAAAGGCCGGCTCGGGTCCGGGCGGCTCCACCCTTCGCGGTGCAGCGGCTGTGTGCGTAGCTGCACCGTTCGCAGGCCGCAGGGGTCAAGCACCCCGGACTGTGCGCTCTGGGCTGGATAGGGAGCCCTGACCGGCCACACGGGGGCCCGGCCCTTGCGGCTCTGCCGGCCCCGACTGCTCCCACAGGCCAGTGGGTGCATTCTGGATCTGCCCTGACCAGGGCCGGTGCAGGCCCTGCCTACGAACTCACACAGAGTGGCGGCTTGCCACCCCTGTCCTAGTGGAGGTGGCGGCTCAGTAGCGGGTCTCCTGTGCACATGCAGAGTGCTCTCTCCAGGCTCTGGCCTCACCTGGACCTCACCTAAGCCCACAAAGGCCCTCCGTCAGCAGGAGCTGACCGACGGAGCCTGGGAGGTGCAGTCCAGCCCGCCTGGGGGCACCAGTGGCGGGCGGGCGGGCGGCCAGAGGCCGGCACCTGGCGTGGCTGCAGCTCCCGCTGCCCTGCGCATCTCTTCTCTGAGGTTGCCCCAGGAACAGCAAGCGGCCCGTGACCCCGGCTCTCCAGCTGGCCGTTGCCGTGCTCCACTTTCCGTCGGGGCACCCGGGGCGGTTTGGTGTCCCTGCGTCCTGCCTGTGCAGTCAGCTCCCGCTCTTCTTCGTGCAGGTCGCGCCAGTTGAGGACGTAGACAAAGCCCACCTGGGTGATCCTTACGCCAGCGCCGAATACGCCAAGGACATTTTTATCTACATGCGGGAACGCGAGGTAGCTGCTGGGGAGGGGCGGCCCCCTCGCTGTGCGGCTCGAGTGCCGGCCTCCTGGAGCAGAGCGGGGCTTCCGAGCGCCTGATGCATGCTCGGGCGGAGTCCACCGGTCTGCCCTGAACTGGGCAAAATGGTGTGCGTTGCTGGGAGCCGCCACTGGGCACATGTCCTGGGAAGGCTGCTCTAGCGAGCGCATGTTTCTCTCCAAAACTCCGGGCTAGTCTGGGACTCTGTGAAATGAAAGCAGGCTGTCCTGGCAGGAAAGGAAGGGGGCTTTGGCCCGCCTCTCTGGGGGCAGCTCTGGGGCACACTGAGAGGACGTCTCAGTTTGTCCCGGAGCAGTGGGGTCTCTGCCCCATGGAGGTGCTGAGGATGGGTGTGGTGGGGGTCAGCCTCAGTGTGGCTTCCTGACCAGCCCCTCTCCCTGCAGGAGGAATTCTCGCTGCAGGACTACATGCGGAATCAGCCTGACATCACCACCGACATGCGGGCCGTCCTCGTGGACTGGATGGTGGAGGTGCAGGTGAGCGTGCGCTCCGGCCGTGCGGAGCGGCGGGTGCCGGCCAGCTGGCTTGGGCCGAGGGCAGGCTGCAAGGGGGGGAGGGAGGGAGGGAGGTCCTTGGCCTGTGGCTGGCCGGGCGGCCGGCTCCCCCTCACAGGCCTGTGGCTGGCCGGCTTCTCGGGGTCAGGATGCCCGGCTGTGCGGGATGGTCCCAGGCAGGATGCAGCGTTGTCGCTGGCGGTCGCCGCGCTCAGCGCGCTGCTGGGCTCCTGGCAGAAGGCGTGGGAGCTGCGTGCAGAGGTGGCATCCCCACCCTCCCTGCAGACGGAGAAACCGGGACCCCTTTGTCCAAATTTCCCCAGAGGTCTCCACATCTCCAGCGCGGGCTCCCTCTCAGGAGCCGTCTCTGCGGAGTGGCTCCCTTGCTCTGCACGGCCGTTGAGTGGCGGGCGCAGCAGCTGGGTTGGCCTCTTGGCCCCCAGCCCCCCCACGGCCGCAGCGCCCCGCCTGCAGGTACTGTGGGTACACAGAGAGCACAGAAGCAAAGCGCCACTTTGCAGAACGCTCCCCTGGCGGTTTTCCCGCATACAAGTGGCGGGTGCGGGACATGGGAGGGGCTGCCTGGGAGATGCCCGTGCAACGGAAGGTGGCTTCCCTATTGCCATGCAAGCAAGGCAAGGAGAAATGCCCTGAACTCGCCCATGGGGAAGTCTCCCAAACTTTTCTTCTCCCTTGAACGTGTCTTTGAAAGCCATTTCTTTTCCATGAAACCGGATGAGAATGCTGGGAATGTGGAGGCAATTTGCAGCGGCGTACCAAATGGATCGAGTGCACGATGTGCCGTGGAAGGAGCCCACGGGAGGAGCCGGCCTTGGCCAAGGCTCGTCCTCTGGAGGGGTCGCTCTGCAGCAGAGGGCCACCCGGGAGCGACTGGCTCAGCCCTGGAGCTGGCCTCGAAGCGGAGAAAGCCCCAGATCCTGGCACACTGCTGCCGGCTGGGACAGGCAAGGGGTGGCTGGAGGGGCAACAGTTCGACTCCCCCCTTGTCTCTTGGGCTTCTGCAGGAAAACTTCGAGCTCACCCATGAGACGCTTTACCTGGCAGTCAAGCTGATGGATCACTACCTGGCGAAGGTGACCACCACCCGGGACAAGCTGCAGCTTATCGGCTCCACGGCCATCCTCATCGCGTCCAAGTTTGAGGTGAGCCCAGGCAGGTGGCTGGAGGAGCCCAGAGGTCCAGCAGGGGGGAAGCGCAGGGCCATGTTGCCCGCTGCAGCCTCCTCCACCTCCCAGGCATCTGGGCACACCTGTCGGGTGTGCCGTGTGGCAGTTCGGCTGCTGCTTTCAGCATCCCTGGTGCACCCCGAGCCCTAAGCCAGACCTGCCCCCCTTAACTTCAGCAGGGAAAGTGCCTAGCGTCCCAGCTAGGCCGGGTGCGGCACCTAATCGTGCAAGATGCTGGGAATTCCACGCTGGCACCGAGCTGTGATCTTGAGCCGATTCTCCCCCGCCACTAAAAGCTGGAGACTTGTCCAGACGCAAAGCGGAGGTGGACCATTTTCTGCCCATCACGTCAAGCTCTGAGCCGAGCTCAGAAGGGGGCCCGCCCGGACGGCTGCCCCGGGTGTGTCCACACCCCCCACTGGCTGACCTCCAGCAGTGCTGGGCCGGGCTGCCCCCGGGGGGTCCCTGCCCATCGCCTTCACTCCGCGCAGGCCGGGCTGGGGTGCCGCCTGCGCCCTGCTCCCGCGCCCTGAGCCGCCTGCACCTCCCGGGCCCACAGGAGCGCTGCCCGCCCTGCGTGGACGACTTCCTGTACATCTGCGACGACGCCTACAAGAAGGAGGAGCTGCTCGCCATGGAAGTGAGCATCTTGCAGACGCTGCGCTTCGACATCAACATCCCCATCGCCTACCGCTTCCTCCGACGGTTCGCCAAGGTGAGCAGCAGCCGCGGCTGCAGCGAGGTCGGGGATGAGGCTGCGTGTGAGGCGGGCGGCGGGGCCCCTTGGCGCATCTGCCCGGGAGCGGTCCGGCGGCCCCCGCTTGCCGTCTTCCCCCTCCAGAGGCCAAACTCTGCACTCTGCCCCACTGCCAAACTCCTGCAAGGGGGGCCTGGAGAGGAGGGGAGGCTATTTCCCCGTGGACTTGTGCCCCTGCCTCTCGGCAGCAGAACGGGAGCGGATAAAGTCAGCCAGGGTCACGCAGGGCCCAGCCTGGCTGCCCAAATGCATCGGGCCCGGTTCTGATGCTGGGAGGACTGGAAGCAGCGCGGCCGCGATGGCGGAGGCGGCGCTTCGCAAGCCCCTCCTGGCTGCACCTGCTCTTCGGTGGCCTCGGACGCGGAGCGGCCGTGTGAGTGCGCGTCCTCCAAAGCGGCCTGCTCCGCCGCGCAGCGGGCTGCGCTTTCTCACGAGTGCAGGGGACCCGGCGGTGGCCCGGGGTCGGGCGCAGCAGCTCCAGCGCCCGCTGGTCCTGCCACGGCCGGTGGGGCGCTTGGCCCGGCGTGACGCTCGCTTGCCGTGGGGCACCCCGCCTTCGCCCGCTCCACAGAGGCCCCCCTTCTGCCCCGCAGTGCGCCTGCGCGAGCATGGAGACCCTGACGCTGGCCCGCTTCATCTGCGAGCTGACCCTGCAGGAGTACGCCTTCGTGGGCGAGAGCGCCTCCCGGCTGGCGGCCAGCTGCCTCCTCCTGGCCCTGCAGATGAAGAACCTCGGTGGCTGGGTGAGCCTCTGAGCCCCGGGGGATGCCCCCCGCCCCCGCCCCTTCCCCCGCCGGAGCGAGCGGCACGGCCCCGGCACGCTCCGCGGGGCCTGCTGCCGTGGCGGGGTCCCCAGGGCCCGGCGTGCCACGTGCCCCCTCGCTCTTGCAGACCCCCACGCTGGAGTACTACAGTGGCTACGCGGCCCGGGAGCTGCCCCCCCTGGTGAAGAGGCTCAACTTCCTGCTCACCTACCAGCACGACGCGCGGCTCAAGGCCGTGCGCAGCAAGTACTCGCACCGGTAAGGGGCTCTCTCGCCTGCCGCGGCCCCTCGGGGGGTGTGCAGCCCTCTGCACAGGGGCCACTCGCATGGGGCCCGGGAAGCCCCCGCCCCTCACCAGGCCGCTGGACTTTCGGGGGAGTGCAGGAGGCCGGCTTGCAGAACCGGGGGCCGCCAGGCCTTCCCGCGGCCTGCTGCCCTGCTGCTCTGCCTGCCCGAAGCTGCCGGCCCGGCATGGACCAGTGGTCCTCCGCCACTTCCGTGGGCCTACGATTTGTAGGTGGCAGCCGTGGAGGAAGTACGACAGGGAACCCCTTTCCTGGGACCCCCGAGGCCCCGGCCCCGCTGCTCCTGGGGCCTGCCTGTGTCTGAGCCGCTCCCGCGCCTTGTCTCCGTCTCGCTCGCAGGATCTTCTTTGAGGTGGCCAAGCTGGCGCCCATGGACATGCTGGAGTTGGAGCGGGCGCTGCAGAGTTAGCACACGGCACCCCACGGGCTCGGCGGGCGGCCGGGAGCCGCAGCGGGCCGGCACCAGGACTGTAAATACCCTGTACATACTCCCAGCGTGAGAATCCTGTACATACCTTTCCCCCTTTTTAATTATGGGGCGGGGCGGGGCGGGGCGGGGTGGGTGTGAGAAAAAAGTAGAAGCATATCTAATGTTATGGGGGGGGGCAGTAAAAGAAGCACTTTCAATAAAAGAATGTAAAATTACCCCCTTGTGCTGCTGGGACCCTCCGTGGGCGGTGGGAGGCGTCCGGCTGTGGGCCCCCGGCGCCCCCGCTGTGCCGTCCCGGCCCAAGGAGGACCCTCCCTTGCAAAGGTGACGCTTGGCCTGCAGGCAACTCTGGCTTGGAAGGGCCCTGCTAGCAATGGGGGGGGGCATTGCCCCGGCAGAGGGCCACCGCTGGGTCTCCTTTGGCGAGAGCAGGCGGCACTGGCTGCTTGTGCCCAGGGCCGCCCCCCCCCCCCAGCCTTCCCTTCCCTTCCCTTCCCTGCGGCGGTCTCTGCCCCAGCACGTGTGGGGCCGGTTGCGTGGGGCGCGGGGAGCCGAGCGGAACGGAGAGCAGAGAAGCAGGCGGAGAGGAGTCCATTTCTGAGTTTATTTGTTCGGCTTGGGGGGTTAAGTTCAGACACTTGAGGCACATCGGAGGGAGGCCTGGGCAGTCCTCCGCCCCAGCAGCCCCCCCGCCTCCCCAATGCAGCGGCTGAGGGAGGGGAAGGGCTCTCCCCCATCTCTGGGGTCTCGGGGCTGCCTGCCCCTCTGCAGCGTTCAGAGCACGGCCTTTTTCCTCTGCGGGCGGCTACTGAGCAAGTAAAGACCGGGGGGGGGCAGCGCCCCACCATTCCTGCCCTGCCGTACCTGCTACAGGCAGGCGCCCGTCCGGGGGCTGGGTGGCAGCCTCCTCTCCGGAAGGCGGCTTGCCCGGGGCACCCTTGCCCTCCCTCGTGCATGGGTGGGGGAGAAAAGCCTTCAGCGCTGCCGTTGGCCTCTGCTCGCCTGCGGTGCGGGGAGGACAGCAGCGGGGCTGCCCTGCTCTGGAGCTCATTTAGCGTCTACACAGCTTCATTGCATCTGCTTTTGGGGGAATTCTGTGTGGTAGGGAAGGGAGGTAAGCAGTGGCAAGCCCGGGGGGCCACGCTGCAGGGCAGGTGCCCTGTGGTGGCCTAGCCTCGACCAGCCCCCCGCCGTGCATTGCTTTCCAGAGAGGCGCTTGCCTTTTTCCCCGTCTGCAGGAAAGCTGGTCCTTCCGGGCTTCTAGGGGAAATGCGAGGCCCTTGTTCCTCTTATAAAGGCCGTGCTCTGGAAGAGCGGCAGACAGCGGCGCCCAGAGCGGCTGCCCGGGCTCTTCCCGGAGGGTCCAGAGCCCTGGGCCTGGAAGGGGCTCCCGTCCCTTCAGCCGGTCCCCCTGCTGCCAGCTGCTGCTCCGCCAAGATTTGCTCCCGGAGCCGGCCCTCGTGGTCCGTGGAGCGGGGCGGTGGGTTGGGGTTCCCCATATACACCTGTTCTCCCTCCCCCCGTTTCCCCATTGGTTCACAATATAGATCAAGCACTGGAAAACACACAGAGACAGATCACAACAGCCACGCGCGCTCCCCTCCCCTCCCCTCCCCTCCCCTCCCCTCCCAGAGCCGCATGAAACGGGGCGGGCAAGGCGCACGCCTTCCTCTCTCGGGCCCTGGCGTGCATGCGCAGGGCCCAGGGGCTCGCCTCCCCGGAGCGTTCCAGCCAGTTCCGCGTCCCAGGGTCACGCTTGGCGTTCATGCAGCTGGTGCCAGGTGGTCCTAAGCGGATTCTCCAGCGGAACGTCACGGTGGCCCCGAGGATCGCTCCCCTCGGGTAGCCCAGCCCCCTTGGTGCCTCACCCTTGGCTCCTGCGGACAAGAGGAGGGGCGGGAGGGCGGTCTCCGGCGGCCCGGGCTGCAGCCGCCACCGGACAGGTGTGCCGCATTCCCTCCCGGCTGCTTCAGAGCCTGGCGTTTCGGTGGGGGGGAGGGAAGAAGCTCTGCGGGATGAATGGGCCGAGCAGTGAGGCCGCGGCTCGAGGAGAGGAGGAGAAGCGAGTTGTTCTGGGCCGACGGGTGGAAAGCTTGCCACGGCGAGCTGGCCAGTCCGTCAGAAGCAGCCTCCTGCAGCGGAGCCGGTAGCGGTGGGGCCGGCCACGGTTGGGGCGCTCCTCCGCCGGATGTCCCCAGGCCGGCAGTGCTGGCTTCGCTGCTGCCGTGCACGTGCTTCCCACACACGCGAACCGGAGCCGTGGGGTTCCCGTGGGGCAGAAGGGTGTCCGTCGCAATCAGCTGCCCGGACCAGTCAGTCTCACTGCCTTTGTCATGGCGCATGGATCTCAAAGTGCATTTGCTCAACACAGGTGAAAAATAAATCCAGCTTTATATATATATTAAATCTAAATCTCTTTCTTTCCGAACTATTTACATTCTCAGCAAGCTCTTCGAACGGGCACAGAGGAACGTGCGGCAAGGCAGCCGGGTGCCGGCGTGCCTCCGCCACCTGTCCCGGGGCTGTGGATGGGCTCTGGTGCCCCCGCTCCTGCCCCCGCCTGCCAGAGACGGGCCAGGGGCCCAAGAGCCTGTCGGTGGGTGGGTGGGTGGGAGGGAGGACGGTGGAGAGGGGCCGGCCGGTGCCCAGCCCTGCCTGTGCAAAGGTCCTCCCTGCGAGGAGAGGAGAGGAGAGGAGAGGCTCCCGTGGGAGCACAGTGCTGCCGCCTCGCTCGGCTGTTGCCACAGGCACCCACGGCATGGCCCCGACTACGGACGGCCGTTCTGGACGGCATCTCCCGCCTGGCCGTCTGCCAGAGGAGGATGGCGGGAGAGGCTCAATGGGTTATCGATGGCTCTGGATCTGTCTAATGTGGAGGTCCCTGCCTCGCCGTGGGAAAGCACCCCGGGTGTGTTTTAGGTTATTTGTACGCCTGTGGCAGTGAATGGTGTTTGTCTGTCCCTGGGGGTCGATCACTTGTGGAAGTCTTTTTATTAAAAAGTGCATTTTGCTCACTTTGTGCAGGGGGGTGGCTGCCCTGCTGGATTTGCACCCCCTCTGGCCACAGGGGGGGAGGAGGGGAGGAACGTCCTGCCTGCCTCCTAGCAGCTGTTCCTTTAGCCAAACGGGCAACCCTGGGAAAAGCTGTGTGTGTGTGGGGGGGGTGCTGGGCAGCTGTTACAAGCCCTGCAGTGTCTCACGCTTCCGGCTGCCCTCGAAGCTGCGCTGTCCACCGCTGCTGCCTTCCACAAAAGCCGGCCGCAGCTTTCACGTGTCTCCGCAGCTTCCTGTACTGAAAACTGAAAGCAAGCCAATCAAAGCAGAGCACGAGGACGTGGGTCAGGCGAGGCAGGCCTTGCCTGTAGCTCTGCTCCACCTCAATTACCCACTGAGGTGCCCCGTGCAAGGGGGTGTCCGCCCTCTGCTGAGGTGCTGGGCTGCTCCTGCCCCCAGCCCGGGAGGAACCAACTCCCAGAGGAGCCGGGCCAATGTGACGCAACCGAGTGGCTGCAGGATGCGGTGCCTACTGATCAGCCCCCGCCCCCCCCCATGAATGGGAATGAACCGCTTCAAGGGGAGCAAAACTCAAGACACGGGATCACTGCACAGAGAGCGAGGAGCAGGGAAGGACAAGAACAGCGAGGCCACAATCTTTGGCAAGCGTGAAAATGTAAACTCTCAGCATGGGATGCATGGGAACCCGTCCTTGCATGAAATTCCCTGGGCACTCTGCCCCAGCAGTTGGAATAGATGCAGGGAGCGCCACTCCCACCCCACAGCTGCCGAGCGAGATGGATGGTGGGAGCTGAGCAGAAGCGCGGTTCTCCCTCTTGGCCAGAGGATCTTCTCTAGAGCTGGCTGGTGCTTTCCTTAATGGCCTGGAGAATCCTCTTCAGATGCCCCACTTTTGAGATCCCAAGGTCCTGCAAGGGAAGAAGGCAACGGAGGAGGGTCGGTCATGGGGAGGCTGCAGACCAGCCTGCGGCAGGCCCTGCCCTAGCTGCAGCCCTGGTACCTCGACATCCACCCCAGCCTGGCCCGCTGCATGGCTCCCTTCAAGCCCACTGCAGTCACGCGTGTGCCAGGAAAGGACGGAGGGGCACTGCCTGCAGGGGGCGCTCTTGCTCGGCGGGCGTCTGGCAGGAGCGCGCATTCCGGGAAAGAGGCCGGGGAAGCTGGCGCAAGCTGCCCCTCGCAGGGCAGGGGAGAGGCGGCAGCCCCGGCCATGCAAGCAGCCCCGCCGCGCCCGTGGGCGTACCTTCAGGTCTCTCCTCTCCAGCAGGATCAGCTCGGCGCCCTGGATGTCGTGGCGCTCAAAAATCTCTTTGTACTCCCCTAAATCAAGCGCCTCCAGCCAGGCCGCCACTTCCTCAGGGCCCCAGCTGGCCACTGGCAAACGGAAAGATGGGAAGACGGTCGGTGCGGAGCCCGGGCGGGCGGGCGGGCGGGCGGCGGCGCCAAGCGGAGGCCATGCGGGCGGGAAGCGGGGCGGCGGGCAGGGGGCGCTGCGCACACAGCCCGGCGTGGCTGTGCAAAGCCCGGGTAAGCCCAGGCAAGCTGCGCCGGCAACGCCCACTGGCCGGCCCCTCGCCACGGAAGCGCGGACGCGCGGCGGCGGCAGCAGGATCGTGGGGGGGGGGGGGGGGGGGGGGGGGGGGGCTCTGGCCAAAACCCTGGGGGCAGCAGCAGCACCTTCCTGCCCCCCCCCAACCACTGGGCACCACTCCCATGAGGCATGATTCCTGCAAGGGACTGCACGGACCAGGTTCTATGATGCGATTTAGGGCAGGCTTCCTGCTGTTTTGGCCTACGACCCCCAAGGCTCGTCGGTCAAAGCAGCAATATTTTAATAAGTTCTAATATGATGACCCAGATGTTTTTATCACAGCCAGTGTGGGTCGATAATTTTATTTATATTATATTTTATTGTACTTTATCTATGTGAGCCGTCCTGAGGCTTTCGCGACAGGATGGCGCATGCATATATATATACGCGTGTATACATATACATATATATAAATAAAGGCAGGCAGGCTGCCTGCCCCATGCTCCCATGGCCCGGAGCTGATGTCACTTGCAGCCAACAACACCTGGGGGCCGCAGGCTGGGCTTCTGGGCCTCCCCACAGGATGTGGCCCTTCTGCCCTGTGTCACTTGCCTCCCCCAGGGACCCACCAGAAGCCTCAGGGCACGGCTGAAATGCTTCGGGGGACGGTTCCCCCACATGTGCCCGGAGCTGGGCGCCCCCTGCCCGCAAGCTGCCCAGCACAGCTGCAGCCAGGCACAAACCCACAGCTGTGGCCCTGCAGAACTGGGCATGGCTGGCTGGTTGTGCCCCGCCACAGGGAAGGTGGGGGGAGGGCGGCCCACTCGCAGCCCCCTCTCCGGAGAGAACGTCGCATTCGCCCCTCTCGGGTGCTCCCCCTGCTGTCAGGGGATTCAAACTCTGGGTCTTTGCCCCCCCCACTGCAATTCCCCAGGTGCCCCTCCCCCAGCCCCTGGGGAATTCCTGCATGGGTATCCCTGGGAGATGCAGGGAGCAGGCAGGCGGCCCTGGAACACCCTTTACCTGGGATGCTGCCGGACTTCTGCTTCTGCACCTTCTCCTTCTCCTTCTCCTTCTCCTTCTCCTTCTCCTTCTCCTTCTTGGGCTTGGCAAGGTTGATCCGCAGCTTCAGGCTGCCCTTGTGGCTGCTCCCAGAGGCGTCCTGTCTGATGCCCTAGGGAGAAGAGTGGGGGGCTCAGGGAGCAGGAGGGCGGAGCGGCGCCCCCGCCACCCTGGGCCGCTGGCGTGCCGCCTCTCCTGGCGCTGGCCCCGTCATGCTGGGGCCAGGCGGGGCAGCCCCTGCTCTGCACACAGCAGGCTCTGGGTCCATCCGCCTGGACCCTGATGGACAGCTGCTGCCAGCCTGTGTCGCCCATCCTCGGCCAGACAGACCCACGCCCCAACCCAAGAGAAGGCAGCTTCTGGGGTCCCCCTACAATCCCACATGAATGCAGCAGCAGGCAGGCACAATTTGAGCCCCTGCAGAGCTGGGGAAGCCAGCCGGGCACCTCGCTCCACCGCCTCCCTCTTTCAGCTCCCCCTGCCCCCTTCCTCCTTTGAAAAGCTGCTGGTCTCCGCTCTTGTTCCCATGAAACCCTCCCCAGTGGGGAGGAAGCGGTTTGCCCCCAGGCAGGGCATCTCCGCCTGCCCATCGCGCCTCTCCGGCCCCCGCGGGCGCCTACCTCCTCGGCGGAGTGGATGACTGGTGCCATCCAGTGGATGTCAGAGAGCTTCTGCAGCTCCTGGCTGACTGCGCTCAGGGCGAGCTGGAGGTCCTCCTCTTGCTGTGGCGAGTCCAGCTGCTGCAGGGGAGAGGGCCGATAAACCCCCTCGGGAAGATCTGGGCTGAAGGGCCCCAGGGAGCCGCTGGCCTGGCTGGCCCAGCCCCCGCCGGGGAGCCCCCACTGCCCACTGGAGCAGCCTGGCCTCGGGCAGCAGAGGAAGAGCGGCGGGCGCAGGGACCCGAGCCTTCTCCTCCCCGCCGCTGCAAGGAGGCCAGTTCTGGGCGGGGCCGGCACTCACCAGCTTGCCTTCCAGAAGCGCCTGGGTCTCGGTGCAGAGGGCCTTCACGCTCGCGGCCACCTCCACGGCTGCACTCCTGCTCAGGTACTGAAGGGGCAGAGCAGGTGAGCCAAGGGGAGGCGGCGCCCTTAGTCCCTCGGAGCGTCGCCTGGAGGGCAGCCCGCTGCCGCTCCCCACACGTGCTCCTGCCTCTGGGGTCACGGGGCGATTCTTCGCTGCACTCATCCGCAGCAGCAGCGGGCCTTGGTCCCAGCAGCACTGCAGAGCGGGGCTGCCCAGAGCCCTGGAGAGGGGCTGCTGCCGGACCATACCGACAGTGCTGGCCCAGGTGAGCCAGCCACGAGGCACCCATCCAGCAAGCAGGCAGTGCCCGGCTGAATGCCCAGCCGCCTCTCCGGGCTGGCAAGAAAGCCTCGCCTGAAGCCGGGATGGCTGCTGCCCCGGAGCAGGTTAAGGCCCGGGCCAGGGGGAGCCAGCGGCAACTCGGGCGAGGCAGCCTCCCACGCCCCTGCAAGTTTGCACCCCGCCACAGACGGGGCCCTGAGAGCCAGAAGGGAGCTGCCCCCGGCCCTGCGGAGATCCTCTAGCCTCCCCCTCTGCCTAAGGCGCCGACGGCACGTGCGAGGAGGCTGAACGGCGGGCAGGTGGGCCCGGCCCTGCTGCCCTCCACCCCTGGCGCCACAGCCAGGCGCCCGCCCCACGCTCCGCCTCACCTCGGGGCTGCTGCTCTTGCCGGGCAGGGCCTCGCTCAGCGCCAGGGAGCTGCTGTTCACTGCGTGGGCCAGCTCCTGCTCGACGGCCCGGCGCGACTCGGCCGCCTCGCGGATCCTGCACGGGGCGGGAGCGCCATCACCCCGCGCCGGCTGGTGTGGTGCTGGAGCTCCCTGCGAGCCGGCGCTCACCCCGCTGCCCCACTGCCCCCGCCCTCTGCCCCGTGCCCAGCCTGGCGGCCCGAGTGGCCGGCCCACGCCTCCCGCGGCACAAGGGCGGGGGCTGCCGGCACCTGCTGGTGAGGGCCTCGGTTGCCTGGGCCAGCTGCTGCATCTGCCCGTACTCCTCCTCCGTCAAGTACTCCATCGACTGCTGGGAGCTAAGGCGGGGGCGGGGGGCGGCCCGGTAGCCCTCCCCCTTCTGCTTGTCCTCCCACGACTTCAGGGTGCTCTCGAAGGCCTGCAGGGGAACACGGTGGCTGTGACGGGGCCTGGAGCTCGTGCTGCCGCTCCAGCCACATCCAGCCCAAGAAGCTCCAGCCACGGCTGCAGCGGGGGGCTTTTGGGGCGGGCACAGAAGGGGGGCTCCCCATCCACCGATCTGCGCCAATCCGTCGCTGGCCTGGAGCTTCCGACGGCAGCTGTGGTTGCCGAACTCGCCCGTGGACCCTGTCGGCCCCTCTCGCTTCACACACCGGCCTTGCAGCGGCCAGCCAAGAGCAGGCAGGGGAGCCGGAGCAGTTCTGCTTGTGCCCCCCCCCCCATGGGGGCCACCACCAACCACAAAGGCACCGAGACTCACAGTGCTCCACAACATGTTTGCTGCCTGGCTGTGGAAGAAATGCCATGTGGGGGGGCGCCTCCACCCCCCAGCAGGTCCCCGCATCTCACCCGGTCTCTGGTCAGCATCTGGGCCCGGTTCTTGTGCTGGATCTTGATCATGCCTGGTGGCTGGATCCAGGCCTCCCCATCCACCTGCACCGGGACTCCCTCGTCGCCTCGGATCGTGATCTTCACCATGCGGCACTGGTGGGCGGGCACGACAGGGTGAGGAGGGACTCCCTGGACCCAGCCGGCCCCTGCATTTCCCCAAGCCTTTTCCCAAGGGCGGCTTCCGGGATGCTCGGTCAGGCAGGCAGCATTTGGGCTCCCCTCACCTGGGCAATGCGGTGGTGCTGCAGGTTGATGACCCGCGACACGGCCATCTGGATGCTGCCAAAGACAGCCACCACCTCCAGCTTCTTGTCATCAAAAGAGGGAGCCCCAAAATTCTGGAAGGGAAAAGAGGTGCAAGTGCCCCAACGGAGACATGGAAGGGCTTCCCTCAGCCACTCCCTGCTCCATTTCCCCTTCTGGGCTGGCTTTCTTGCTCTTAGACATCTTCCCACAGAACCACAGAATAGCAGAGCTGGGAGGGGCCAGGGGGCCATCAGGTCCCCCCTACTGCTCGTGCAGGACACCAGGCCACACCAACCCACTCAGATGGGTGGCCAGATGCTTGTGGATGTCTCCAGCGAGGGACAGCCCACAACTCCCCGGGTAAGAGGCTGCATGGCCACACTGCTCTGAGGAAATACTTCCTCGTATCTAGTCTAAATCTGCTTTCTTTCCATTTAAGTCCGTCAGTCCATGTCCTGGACGCCAGACAGCGTGGGAGGAGATCTTGTCCTTCCTCTTCGTGGCGGCTTTTCAGCTACTCGTTCAGTGTTACTAGTGAAGTCTGAGGTGATGTGAGGAGGGAACCTCCAATCCCCATAGTGGGGCTCATTCGGAAAAGGGGGTCGCGCTGCACCGGAGCCGCAGAAGGCAGGGAGACGAAAGGGAGCCCTGCGAGGAAGCTCGATGCCCAACTCACGTTGTCTTCCTTGGTGCCTCCCCAGAAGTTAATGCCCCCTGCGTAGCTGGGAATGTTGAGCACCGCGATGCCCTGCAGGCTGGGCAGGGAGATGGGCACCCCGTCGCACTGGAAGGAAGCCGAGAGAGGCGCCTTAGGGCTGCCCCAAGCAGGGGGCTCCCCCACGCCAGCGAGGCCGGTGGGGCAGCAGGGGCTCTGGCGCCACAATGGCTGTGCCCCGCTGCATCTGGGGAGGTGGGGCGCTGGCAGGGACCCGGATCGCGCTGAGGCCGAGGCCTCCTATCCTGCGACATTCGTGACCAGAAGGAAGGGGCTTGCGGGACAGTGCTGCCCGCCGTTTGCCCCAGCGGAGCCCTGCTCCCGGGTGCTCCAGGGCCGCGCGCAAGCTACCTCCAGCTGGACCCGCTGCTCCAGGTTCTTGTAGGTCCGCTGCAGCAGCTCCTTGGTTCCCAGGACGCCGTACCACATCATGTTCTTGGTGCGGCTGCTGCAGAGGGCAGGGAGAGGCGTTCGCAGAGCCCGCGCCCACCGCTCGAGCCACGCAAGGGCGGACACAGCACATGGCAGCCCTACTAGCTCGTTTGTGCAAGATGCGCCACCCGAGGATCAGCAGCCGGACTTGCGATGGAGGAACTACAGACAGGAGGGTTGGGAGGGGCCGGGAGGCCACGGGGCCCAAGCCCAGCTCTTACGGGACACCTAGTCTGTCCAGCAGCTCTGCTTCCTCCGAAACACTTGCGCAAGGAAGCCTGCCCTGGCCATTTCCCCCTGCCAGCCAGGCAGTGCCGGGCCTCTTCCGGCTCCCCCGTCTGGCTAGGGAGCCCGGCCACCCTGCCGCCCGGTCAGGCGTCCCCACCAGGAGCACACGTGCCCACGAACGCCCCGGGACCCGCTCCCGCCCCGCACGCAAGAGGAGCGCCTGGGCTAGGCCGGCCCGCCCGCGGCAGCGGCCCCCCACATTCTGGGCCAGTGGGAATCGTGCAGCGCGGCAGAAAGGGGACGGCCGGCCTGGATCACTCTGCCAGTGTGCCTGGCGCATGTGTGTGGGGGCGGGGGGGGGGCGTTGCTAAGCACAGCTTGTAGGCAGCGGGTGTGTTTCTCCTGCTACCATTGCAGCCAAGGCGTGTGCTGGCTGGTGCTTCTGGCTCGATGGAAACCAAAACGAGCAGCTTTGTGGACCTGCCCCTCACAAGCAAAGCATCTCTGCCACAGCCCGTGCAGCTCCGTTTCGTGCAGGTGGCAAGGAATTTGCCACATACCTGCATTTTTTGGGATGTTCATCCCTCTTGTTGTTGAATTCCAGAGAAATCTTTGCATCCAGGCCAATGCCGAAGTAATTATTCATGACGCATCTTTCAGAGAATTGTCTGAAACCAGCAGATGGGAGGGAGAGAAAATTGCTCAGAAACAAGCACTGAAGCAGAACCAGCAAAATGCGAGCAGAATACAAAGCACCTGTCTTGTCATCACAGGCTCCTTCCAAGCACCACAAAATGCCAGAAAGTGGCTTTTGAACCCAGCTGCGTGGGCAGGGGGTGGGAGAAGAGGAAAGCTGGTTGGACGAGGGCAAAAGCACACCCGCATCTGGCCAGCTGCAATGCTATCATTTCCAGGTCTCCAAAGACACCCGAAGATCACACGGAGTGCTGTCTGGTTCCCATATCCATGTTCAGCCAACTTGTTGCAGAACAGCAATGGAATAAGCCAGGCGGGGCGTTCCAAGGGGGCCAGGACCACAGAAGGCCCTCTTCCCGCAAGAGAGAGCCCCCGTCTTTCAGCAAGAGTCCAGCAGGAGGCAGCCTATGGCCACCATGGACTGAACTGTGGCATCCCAGAGCCAGCCCTGGTATCCACGTGCCCCAGAGAATTATCCACTTTGCCTGGGCATCACAAGCCATGTGCGACTCATGTCGAATCATTTTAGGTGCAACCTAAATGAAACGGGATAAGACGGGGTCCTTCACTCCCTCGAAAAGCTGCTAAGAGCTTCGCTTCCTGGAAGATCCCTCGGGACCTTCCTTGGCCACTTCCTTGCTCCCTCCCCTCCAGACTTACTTCTGCCAGCAAGCACTCAGTTTAGCTGGTTAGTCTGGCTAAAGTTTTGTCTGCCACCCTGACTGGCCTTTTGTCACACTTTGCTCAGTGCACAATTCAACGTGCTGATTTTTATCTGGATTAACTGTTCTTTTGGAGGTGCATCATTTGCTGCCTTGGGCATCCATGAAGCGGAAAGGTGGGACAAATATTTACTTCTTCTAAATTATGAACAGCAATATTTTATAGTCAAAATCAATCATCAATACTCAGTCAATAATAATAATGGATAAGTGCTCACATCCTATCGGCGTGCGTCAAGAGCCGGCGCTGTACTTTATCCTTGGCGCACAGGCAGAATCCTGTGCTCTTTTGTCCCCTCCCTCCACCCCATACACATCCCATGAAGCTCTCTGCCACCCCTCCCTCCTCCCCGGCCAAGACCAGCCGGAGGGGAGGGGACACTCACATGGCGCCAGGGTCCTCCGCGAAGTGGACGGTGCCGAAGCTCTCGGGCCGGTCCAGGATGATGGAGGACGTGGTGGAGATGACCGTGTCTCGGCGTGACTCTAGCGAGAAAAGCCGGGTGGCTGTCGCATCTCGGGCCAAGAGGCCTTCCAGGCCCAGCCACGCTTCTCCACAGCGGTGGGCGAGTGAGTCCGGGGAACAGCCCCCCCCCCCGCCCCAAAACAGAGCCGGCTCCCTGGTCTCATTCCCACTATGATCTCCCAGAATGCTGCAGAAGAGGCGCTCCGGCCAGGAGCCCACGCAGGCGCTGGCCGGCTGGCCCACCATGGCTGCCCTTCCGGGCAGATGTGCCCCTCCACACCATCCTCAGGGCTGCCAGGCTTTCGGCACCGTGCCACCATGCCAGGCAGTGCCTGCTTTGTCCTCAGACCCAGGATCCAACAGACGGGAACTGAGGACCAACACGCTCAACAATGAATCATCAAGCAATCGATCAGTCAATTGATATGGCTTACTCATATGGGTAAGCCATATAAGGAGAGACTGTGGGAACTGGATCTTTTCAGCCTGAAGAAGAGGAGCCTTGGAAGGGACCTGCTAGGTGGGTCATGGAGAGGTGGGTCATGACCTTTTCTCCCCTGCAGTGCAGGGCAGGGCGCCTTCCAGTGGAGCAAAGCTCAGGGAACCATGACTTAGGGTGGATGCCAGGAAGTCCTTCCTGATGCTTAGGACCCCTAGGGCATGGAATGGGCTTCCATGGGAGGTGGCTGAGCCCCCATTGGTGAGGGTGTTCAAGGATAGGCTAGACATGCACATGGTAGGCATGTCACAAGTGGAGCCAGCTGGAGCCGGGGGTCAGACTAGATGGCCGGGGAGACCCCTTCTGACTTGCTCTGTTTCTGTTTCTATCACCAAGGGCCTGCCCTTGGGAAGTGCCCAGAGGGTTTCTGGAAGGACAAAGTGAGGGTACTGACAGTGCCCTCAGTTGCTCCGGTCCTGGAGCAAGATGAGGAGGACCACTGGATCGGGTGTGGGCTCGATGGATGGCCGGGAGGAGCCCCCTGCATGCCCCGGCACCACCCTGAGCCCTCCCTGCCAGGGAAGGCTCCCGTGGAAGCCCTGCAGGGCAGCTGCCTTCCCGCTTGCATCGGCCCCCGAAGGCACCACCAGGCCACCTGCCCCGCACCCTTTGCCCCCAGAGAAGACGCTCGCCATGGGCTTACTCAGGGTTTCCGCCTCCTTGTGAAAGTCCTCACCACTGTCCTTCTTGTTGGCCAGGGAGAGGCTCCGGCAGGCTTGCGTCTGCTTGTTCTGCTCATCCACAGCTGCACGAAAAGAGGCCACGGAGATGCCCCACGGTTTGCGTGCGCAAGTGCCTCCTCTGCCGTGGCACTCAAGCGGCGGGTGCCGTCCACGGACAGGAGGCCTTTCCCACAGAACTGTGGCTGGAACAGCAGGCGCCCACGATGCCGGCGTGGAGGCAGCAGCCCACCCTGGCCGCCAGCTCAGGTGCCAGGAGCAGCGCTGGCTCGGGCAGGAGCAGCCCGGCCTGCGTGAGGCCCAGGCAGCTCCGCGGGGCAGGGGCCCTCCCACCCCAGGCCGAGTCCGGGGAAAGGCCCCGCTGGCGGTCCCCACCGCGGGGGTCCCTGCAATGGCTCCCAGGCCCGGCACCTGCCTGGCACGCGGGAGGCAGAGCTGGGAAACCCTGCCTGGGCCCCAGAGGGATGCCGGACAAGGAGCCGCCAGGCCGCCCACCTTTCTCGGCCTGCTCGATGATCTGCCGCAGCGCCTTCTTCAGGCTGTTGGCCCTCAGCATGAGCTGCTCCCGGGACTTGAAGATGCGCGGCATGGGGCTGGGGCGGAGCGGGCCCTCCTTGCCGCCCTGCATTGCTTCGGGGCTGGGCAGCGACACCGGCGAGGTGCCTTCCGGGACCACGATGGCCTGGGACTCGTCGCTCAGCTCCCGGACCAGCGAGTCCAGCTTCTCGCTCAGCGTGGCACACTGCCGGGAGAGGGCGGGGAGGGCCGGCGTGAGGGAGCCCGGCCAGGCGGGCCCCGCGGCCCCGGGGCCTCGCTCGCGGAGCTCTGGCGCTGCTCAGCCCAGGCGGCTGGCAGAGAAGGAGGCGAGCAAGGGGTGCCCAAGGACGTCTGGCCAGCCAGTCTGCCCGTCTCTGCAGCCCGGGAGCATCACCCACATCACTCTCCCCTGGGGGAGCCAGGCCAGGCGCACTTGCCTTCCGGGCCATCGTGTCGGCTTCCTGCTTGTTGTCAGCCGTCCGCTCATACGCCTTGCCGACGTCGGCCACAAAGTCATTCACCGTCCCACACAGGAACCTGCGAGGAAGGGAAGCGGAAGAGGTACCTTCCAACCCCTCCCCACAGGATCGGGGCTTGGGCTCCATCCCTGAAGCAGCTTTCCACCAGCATGTGCAACGGACCGGCGGCAAGCTGCCTGCTGAGGCAGGAAGTGGCCACTGGATCTCTTGCCACTGAGAGCGCTCCCCAGACAGCCCAGCCTTGACAAGGAAGTCGAAGCTGCCAGTCCTCTCACACCCACACCCACACCCTCTCCTGTCTGAGGACATAAAAAGGGCCCTTCTCGATCAGACTGGATCAGGGCAGATTCCAGTTCCGTACGCGTCCTTTTCTAAGTGACAAGGAGCACAAAGGATCACCACTGGGTCTGAAATAAATCACCCACGTGCCCATTTTAGAGACAAGCAGCTGAGGCCGATTGACACCGCTGCACGACCAGGAGGCCACTCCAGGTCCCTCCAAAGCAAGGCCGGCGGCCTCCCAGCTGGCCTGCACCAGCAGCCCACGCGCCGGACTGTCCCCCTGCATCCCAGGGGGCCGCCGTCGGGTGCCTCCTGCAAACCGAGGTGCGGGCAGAGCGCGGCCCTTACTTTGCTGAGGAGATCACCACTGAGTGTTTGTCTGACTCCAGGATCTTGGCCAAATGGAAGGCCACCGAGTCAGCGTAGTGGGAAATGTGAGCCTGCGGAGAGAGACCGGCAGAACCGTCGCGGGACCCATGGGAGGCCCTGCTCCCCAGCCAGCACTCGCTGCCTCCCACTCTGCCCAGGAAGCGCCCCGGAGAGGCAGCAACGTTTGCCGCCCCACAGACCCCGAGCCGCCCGCACGGTCCCCTGCCGCTCTGGAGGCCCTCACGTAGCCCTCACCTGGATGCTGGAGTCCTCACTCTCCTCCTCTTTTATGGCGGGGGGCGACCGCTTGGGGGCCTCGTAGGTCAGAACACTCCACCTGCAGGGGAGGGACACAGAGCGCGGTCCCCCGGGGCCTCCGAAGCCAAGCCTTCCTGCCCCTCCCTGGAAGCTCTGGGCTCGGCGCAGGAGGGCAGGGCCGGGCAGGCCAGGCCCCGCAGAGGCGGCCATCTCTCCGTGACACAGGGCGAGGCGGCCGGGCGCCTTCTCCACGGAGAGGCGGGGGCCTGGATGTTCCGCCTGGCCACCTGCGCGAGGCCCCCCGCCAGGCTTCACCAGGCGCTCACCTGTCCAGCATCTTGGTGGTGGCTCGCTCCAGCTTCTCCAGGACCTGCAGCAGCTGCGTGTCGTCATCGCAGAGGCTGCCCCAGCCGAGCACCCGGGCCAGGTCGTTGCCGGTCCCCAGCGGCAGCACCCCCAGCTGGCACTGGCGGAAGCAAAGGCACCGCGAGCTCCAGGCGGCTCGCTCTCCGAGGAGCTGGCCCGCCAGGGAGCGAGACCAGCCGGCCTTTTCCTCGTCAGCTGCTTGGCCTCACCCTGCCCTGCCTGGTCTCAGCCCTCCTTGCGCGCGCGCGCACACGCACACGTTCTGGGTCTCCTCAGGAGCCCAGCGCTGGCGCATGCAGGCTCCCAGCCCAATGCTGTGCCTCAAGCCGCCCGCGTACCCGGCCACATGCCCTCAGGACCGCGAAGCAGCGCCCGAGGAGTTGCCTGTTGCCACGCTCTTGTCCTTGATCCCTCGCCCCGCCTCCTGAGCGCACGCGGAAGGCTGCGAGGCGAGAGGAAGGGAGGAAGGGCGGCCCGCTGCCACGCATCCCGGACACCTGCGCAAGGCACAGGACGGGGCCAGAGCTGCCACGCTCAGCCTTCACGGCTTCCGCGCAGGGCCTTCACGCAGTCTCATCCTCGGCTACGGCTCCACCAGACCCCTCCTGCTCAAGGGGCGGCGACGGCCTGGGAGGGGGCACGGGCAAGGCACGCACCTGCTTGTGCAGCCCCAGGGCGTCGATTTCGGACAGCACCCAGCCCACGCTGCCGTCACCCCCGCACACCAGGATCCGGAAGGTGGAGAACTTCTGGAAGAGACGCAACCTGGCGGGAGACACAGAGGAGAGGCTGCAGTGCAGGCGGGCAGGAGGGGGCGCCGGCGGGGGCAGCCAGGGCGCTGCTGCGTCTCACCGGGCCCTCGCGGCACACCGCTTGGCTCGGACGCGGGGTGTGCGCTCGGCACCCGTCAGGACAGGCCCGCACGGCGGGGGCCTGCTTCTCCCACCGCCGAGGCAGCTCTGCTCGGGCCAGAGGAGACCGGCAGGGAGGGGCAGCCTCCCGTTCCAAGGCCAGCGCAAGCAGCCCCCTGCCGTCTCCTCCTGGGCCCACCTGGGCCGCTGGCAGGGGGTTGGGGCCGCAGTTGCCCCCGCGGTGCCAGACAAGAGCTTCTCCAGGTCCATCCGGGAATGCGGCTGGGTTGGCGCTGAGGGCCACCGGGGTGCCCAGCAGAGCCCTGACCTGAGCTATGGCCCCTGCTCCCAGGGAGGGCCTGCAAGGGTGCAGGGGCCCCGGAAGGGACGCTCACCCCAGGTGCGGCCCCCCATTCATCAGGTCAAAGACTTGCGCCGGGTTGAGGAACTGCTTGAACTTGCGCAGGAACTTCACGCCCTGGTTGTCCCCGCTCTTGGAGTTCACAAAGGCCAGGAGGGGGCTGGAGCAGGAGGAGGGGCAGGTGGCCTTCCAGAACCCTGCAGCAACAGGCGGAAGGCGGTTCCCGCTGGAAGAGGAGGCGTGGAGGGGTCCCCGCTCCCCGCTTGGTCTGGCGGGAGGGCTCAGGCGTGGGAAGGGATGCAGCCGAGGCCCCTTCCGTCCCACGTCCCGCTTCTCCCCAGTGGCAGGCAGCCTGTGCGCCTGCCACTGGGGGGTGGGTCTGTCAAGCCCCCTGGCAAGGAGCTCCAGAGAGGCCCTCTGCCCCGAGGCCACCACTGGCCTTTGCACGAACCAACAGAAGCCCCAAATTTCAGAGCTCCTTTCTGCCAGCCCTGCGCTGTCAGGACTCAGCGGAGCGGCGGGCAGCAAATGGTGGACGGGCAGCCCATGGTCCCAGGAGGCAGCGCCCGATCCGGTCCGCCGGGAGCAGGGGAAGAAGGGGCCGGAGCCACGGCCAGGGGGCCTGCGCAGGCTGAGCGGAGATGCCGGCGCCGGCCCGCCTGACTTACCGTCCGAGTCAATACTGTTGAGGGCGGTGGGGGGGATGATGGAGACCTTGTACTGCCCCAGGGGGCACTTCTTGCCCAGCTGCTCCCTGCAGGTGCTGTGAACCTGCAGGAGGGCGAGGGGAGGCGGTGAGGGCAGTGTGGGGCGGGGGCAGGAAGGACAGGCATGCCCGCAGAAGAGGCAGCAGCGGGGGCACCGGGCGTGCCTGGGGAGGGGCTGGGGTGGCGGAAGGGGGGCAGGAGGGCAGGGAGGGCTCTTACGATGGCCTTGCACCAGAGGCAGCGCCAGTCCTGCAGCCTGCGCACGCTCCCACACGTCTTGTCGCACACGGCACAGCGGGCGCTGACGGGCAGGTTGCCCTCCAGCCACTGGTGGGGCATGGCCACCTGTGGAGAGACGGCGGGCTCAGAGGACCCTCGCAGGAGGCCCTGGGCAGGCAGGGCCGCCACCCGGTGGGCCCCGGGCGGCCAGCTCCCACGGCTGCGCGCATGAAGCTGGCGGGGGGCGCGGGGGGCGGGATTACCCCGTCCTCGTCCTCGATGGCGTCATTCCCGACGGACGCCAGCGTGGTCCACTTGCAGGTGGTGGCGGCTCTCACAGCACAGCGCTTGTGGGCCTTGAACTTGCACACTGGAACAGGGACGGGAAAGGGGATCAGGCCCGCGCGAGCCGCCGGACGCAGGGAAGGGAGGGTGGGAGCAGCACAGCAGCTGCGCCCAGACGGCAGGGGCCAGCCGCGGGGCCAGGAGCCCAGCGAAGCTCCGCAAGGGCCGGGCCCCCCGCTCGCCGCGGGGGCGGGCTTGGCTCTCTGCGCGAGGGCCCTGCTGGTGCCGCGTGGGGGAGTCCAGCCGGAGTCTCGCTGTCCCCAGCCCATGCCTCAGCACCTTCTCCGTCGGTCGCCCTTTCTTGCCTGCGCGGGGGAGAAGGGGCAGGGGCCCCGTACCTTCGCAGGAGAGGCCATGGGACGTGACTCCAGGGAGCGCTTCCCGGCAGACGTTGCAAAAGGTGGGCCGGGCATGGGAGCAAGCATACCAGTTGTGCATGCCAGAGAAGTGCTCCATGTTGAACTGGGAGGCCTGAAACAGGGCAGAAAAGGGGAGCTGTTGCCAGGAGGCCCAGGAGGCCCCGGACGGCAGGGATTGCTCCCCTGGCGTAAGAGGGAAGCTGGCCTTCGAGGGAGGCCATCTCTTCACACACGGGGAAGCCTCTTCATCCCGGATGCTCCGCAGTGGGGGCTCAAGTGGGCGGCCTGCGCCCCCCACAGCAGTCCCCCTCCGCACTGTTGCCCCCACGTTGGCAAGCAGGAGCAGCGGCCGCCTAGAGGGCCTCTCAAGGGCCAGGTGCAGCCCCCAGGCTCCCGGTTCCTGGCCCAGGCTGGCGGGCTGGAAAGCTGCATTCGCACAGACAGCAGAGTGGCCGGAAACCCAGCAGCGGTTGGGGGAGCAGGACAGCAAGCGCAAGGCTGTGCCCCAGGCCTTGGGAAGACCCCCCCCCCCCCCCCCCCCGTCCCTCACGGGCTGCTGCATCTCCTTCCCCACTCAGCATTGTACGCCCACCCCCCCCGCCCCAAAGAGAGCGTGGCTCGTCCCACCACCTCATTCATCTCCCACTTCTGAACGGACTTGAGGGCACCGATCCAGTCTTCCATCTCCTTCCGGTTCTCTGCACACAGGATGAGTTTTCGGAATGGCGTGATCACCTGGGAGGACAAGACGAGCAAAAGAGCCATGCAGCCGGATCAGTGCGCTGCTCTGTCTGGCCCAGAACCCATTTGCCACACGGGCAACTGGACTCCTGCTGGAGCCCACAGGCTGGGCATGAGGCCGCCCCGCCGAGGTCTTTCCACGGCACGCCTGCCCCTGCCCCGCCCCCGCCCCCGCCGGCACCAGGGTGGGCCAACGAGCGCCGTGCGCGGAATTTCCCGCCAGCCCCTTCACAGGGCAATCCCGGAGCTCACAGGCATGTGGCGCGCAGGGCAGGAAGCCCCTGCTGCCCCCGCACCCGCCCAGCCTGGGGCTGCCCGCTTTGCCTGGGAGCGCTCCCTCGGGCAGGGGCAGGCGCAGGTGCTGGCCACCTCCTCACCTCTCCTCCGCTGGAGATGTCCCCAGGGCTCGGGCCCAGGGCTTCCCGCATGCAGCACAGGGCTCAGCCACCCGGTTCCGGCTTCTCCCACACCAACCCTCTGGGGCAGGCCGGAAGAACCGGCTCCGACATGGGGAAAGCGAAGAGCGGCCCTGCTGGGCCGCACTCCCACAGGACGAGGCCGCGCACGTGCCCGCGGCGAATGCCACCCGTGCCGGGCGGCTGACCCACCGTGAAGCTGTTGTTGATGTTCTTGGTGCTCGTCTCTGCGACGCTGGCATCTGACAAGTCCACTTCGTCAAAGATCAGAGACTGGAAGAAGGGAGAGAGCGAGCAGGTGCTCAGGGCGCCCGTCCTCTTGGCATTTGTTCTGAACCGCCACTGGTGGGCCCGTGCCCTCTCTTCTACACAGCCGGGCCCTTTGCCTTATGGAAGGGCTGGTGCTTCTGCTCTGAAGCAGAAGGTCAAGAAAACCAGGGTTCTTGTTGAGAGCAGGGTAAGCATGAGCCAGCCGTGTGACGTGGCGGTTAAGAAGGCAAATGCCGCCCTTGGACGCCTAGCCAGAAGCGTGGCTTCCAGATCGAGAGCAGGGTTTGCACCGCTCTAGGAAAATCTGGTGTGCGTACAGCTGGGGTGCTGGGACCAGTTCTGGGCTCCACGTTGTAAGAGAGACACCGCAAGGTTAGAATCGGTCCAGCACAGAAGCACAAGGATGGTGGCCAGGTTTTGGGGCGGGGGGAGCGGTGAATGAGGGAGCTGGGTCTTTTCGGTCTGAGGAGAGGAGACTCTGGGGTAGCTTATAGTGACATACAGGTATGTGAGGGGATGTCACACGGAAGGGGGTCGTGACCTGTTCTCCCCTGCAGAGGAAGGCAGGACGCGCTCCAGCAGAGCAAAGCTCATGGAGCCAAGGCTCAATTTGGGTGCCAGGAAGCACTTCCTGACAGTCAGGACCCCGAGGGTGTGGAAGGGGCTTCCACGAGAGGTGATGAGGGTCCCATCACTGAGGGCGTTCAAGGAAAGATTGGACAAGCACATGCTGGGGATTACATGAGTGGAGCTGGCTGGAGCCGGGGGTCAGACTAGATGGCCTGGGAGACCCCTTCAGACTCGCTCTGCTTCTGAGAAGATGGGTGGGATCCTGCTGCCACAGAGCTCCTGCCACCTGCAGGAACAGACAGGCTTCCTTTTGTAGCAGAGTTCTGCATATTTTTAGCATAGGTTTCAAGATCATCTACATGTGCACAAGAAAATCCACAGGAGAGGGCTTTTTTAATGAGCTGGAGACTGCGGCACCCCAAGCGGGTGGCACACTTTGAGCTTGCTGCTTCTCTCCTTGGCCTGATGCACGTCCTCTAAGCCCTGGTGTCCAAATCTGATACATTTGCTGCCTCTCAGAATGCAAAGAAAAGGAAAACTTGGGCAGGGGCAGTTTCATTCAAGCATAGCTGCTTTCATCCAGCTCCTGCCGAAATCCTCCCTGGAAGGCCCAGAAGCCCCTTTCCTGGACTCATTCCGGCTGCTTTTCAGTTTCTGCTCCAAAATGCAACCCTTACCTTGGAATCCTTGGCATAGTAGAGCGTCCGTCCTCGTAGTTTGAAGTATCTCCTCTTCCACCTCTGGAAGGAGCTGGTTTGCTTCAAAAGGAGTCCCTCCTTCACACTCTTCTGCAGACAAACCCAGAACGGCCAGTTTCTTCACATCTGAGCCTTCCAGACCAGTGTCCCCCAGCCTCACCTGGCTAACAGGCAGAGTTTTTGCAGCATGTATGCCAAGGACTAGAGTGTATCGCATTTGTACCTTGGAAGGCAGTGCAGTTCTTGCTCCTTTTTGAAAGTGCCTGTGCATATGTGTGCGTGCGTGCGTGCGTGTGTGTGTAGGGCAATAATACTTATTTGCATATTGGGATGGATCCAGATTGGGACATGTGCAACAAGGAATGCCCCTCATTTTGACAAAAGCCCCCTGAAAGAGAACACTGGGGGACTCAGCTGGGAGGCGCTGCAGTGTCGGGGGAGGCAAAGGGCCTTTCCAGCGAGCAGGGCCCTCCTCCCGTGGAAAGCGGTTGCTGGATCCAGCCCTGCCTGCCCATGACTCAGAATGCTAAAAAGCGCTCTCTCTCATGCAGCAATAAGATAACTCCTTTTGCAGGGTGGTGCACTAGTAAATGCCCGTGAAACAAGTCCAAATTATTTCAGAAAGAAATGAATATGTAACAGCTTCTTGCATAGGGAGGCAGAAAAGACGTCTAAAGGATAAGCATCTTTTAAAAATTAATGGTCAGCCTGAGAGTTGAGCCTGGAAGCATTTTAAAGCCTTTATAAAGTCCATATATAAAGCTAAGTCGGCCCCTGCAACCCAGTGTTTTGGAGTGCAATTCCAAGCATTCTTGATAGAAGTTGAATCCTGAAACATCAGGACAGCAACAGGCCGGAGAGGCTGGGCTAACTCATCCAGGAAGAAAGGAAAACTACCACACCCCACTGGAAAGGCATGCAGGGGCTGAGAACTCCAGCTGTGGGTGTGAGCGGGCATCCGCACAGGGTCCTGAGGCTCCCTGGGCAAGGCGTCATCCCACAGGCCACATCCTGTCACCCTCACGTGGGGGGGTACACTTTTCTGAGCCCCTCCACTCGAGTCAGGAGCCCCCCCCCCGGCCTTCCCTGCAGCATCAGAGTCCCAGGCTGCCTTCATCCCTCCGAGATCCCGCCAGCAGACAGGATGAGCACCCCCCCCCCACTTCCTAGGATTGCCCCCGGCGCTGCTGGTCACCTCAAGGCGGAATGAGCCGGGAGGCCCTGGCCGGGCGCCCACAGAGCAAAGAAGTGGTGAAGGCGACTGTCCAGGGAGGTTCATGGACTGTTCGTGGAGCAAGTGCTGTGACAGAGGCCCGGCAGCAGCACCGGCCAGTAAACCTGCACCCTCGAGCAGTGGAAGGAACCCCAGTCTGGAAGGAACACCAAGGCTGCTGAGATTTGCACCTGACTGGGAGGGGGGGACTGCGCTTCCCATGCATTTGAGCGGAAGTTCAGAACCCGCTCGAGATAGAAATGGGAAGCAGAGAGCTCTCCGCTCGCACCTCACCCTGCCTGGGGGGTGGGGGGGGGGCTCCTCTCAATCTGCAGCAACTCCCCTCAGGGCTGTTTTGAAGGTCAGCAAGGGACTACCTGCAAAGCGCCTGGCGCTTCTAGACGGGGCTCCTCGGAAGGAGGCCTCACTGGTTTGATGTATTTGCCCCAGCTACAGAGACGACGTAGCCCAGCAAGCTGCAGAATAAATACTGATTTTTTTTTAACTCCCAGCAGCCCCCCCCCCGAAGAAATGTCCCACAGAGATGGGGGGGGCAGCGTGAATTGCTTTCCCCGTGACATTTTCCCAAGGGAATTCCCCCCTTCCCCCGCTGCCTTTGCCCGGCAATCCCTCACGCGGCAGCGACCCCATGGCGGCGGAGGCCGGTGCGCGTCGCCCCGCGCCCGCGGAGGTTTTGCGAGGCGGCTCCAGCGGCGCGGAGCGGTCGCTTCCAGCCGCGCGCAGAGCCAGGCGGCGGCAGCCCGAGCGCCCGGGGCCTCCGCACGTCCCGCCTTGCGGGGCTCGCTCGCACGGGGACGGAACGGCGCGGAAGCGCCTGGCCGGGGGGCGAGAGGCTGGGGCAAGGGGCCCTGCGCTGAGCGCATCCACGGCCCAAGAGCCGCGGCGCTTCTCGTGCCCGCCTGTGGCCGCGCGGCGGGCGCCCCGGCCCCGGGGCCTGCGCGCGGCAGCCGCAGCGAGCGCGGGGATGGCGCCCGAGTCCGCCTTTCCTCCGCTGGCGATCAGGCCTGCGCGAGCGCCTCTCCTCCCGGCTGTGGCCCCGCTCACCTCCTTTCCTCTCCCTCGGATGTCATGAGCAAAGGTGGTGGAGAAAGGAGGCGCTCCGCTGTTCCACGTGGCTCAGGCGGGGCAAGGTTCAGCCTGCAGGGACACCTCCCGGTGAGGCTGGGAAAACGCCTGCCTGAAACCTGGAAAGCACCTGCTGCCGGCCCGTGCTGACCATACTGGGCAAGAGGGACCCCGCGCCTGCAGGTGCTGCCCTGTCCTCCTTGCAGCACCCCTGCCAAAACCTAGCAAGCCACTCCAAGCCCTGACCAATCTTCCAATCAGGTTGTAGACTCCCAGCTACCAAATCCTGGCTGTGGCATCGCATCACCCCCAAGTTTTCACTCCTTGGATCCAATTTTAACTGGCTATTCTTCTGACCTTCAGAATTCCTCTTCTTCAAGGCTTTGGCAACACAGATCAGATTCTGAGGGAAGATTGCCCACAATTTAAGAAAAGGCAACCAGCCGTCAGCCAAGGGGGAACTCCAGGAAGAGAGCCTCATCTGAGCTCTGGATGAGGCCCACTGAGCCAGCCAGGCCTACCAGCAAGGACTGCCACCTTGAAAAATATTAAGTGGTTGGAAGTTCATCTCTTCATGCATTCATTGCTTTACTCTTTTCTGTGAAAAGGAAGTGGTGGTGGTTTTATGTGAAATGCTGTCTGTAATTGTTAACCTTTCCACCATTCTTCTGGGGGAGAAACTGGCCCTGATGTGGACCGTGCAGAGGAAAGCACTCCTTCAGAGTGAATGAAGAGATGGCCCTTCAACAGCAGCCCTGCCTCGAAGACTGCTGCGGCCACTTTCGTTGCGATTCAGGAAACGTGGGCGCAATTTCCAGTTCTGCTCGGGATTTCCGTTCCCTCCCGCTGCGTGTCTCCCTCCCTCCTGCTCTCAGCTGTTACTCGAGAGGCATTGCAACATTAAGTAAACCCTCACAGGCAGCCCTTCTGCAGAGGATAGTACAGCCGTATTTTGAAACAGGACTCAGCTACTTAACGGGGGGGGGGGGGGATCTTGTTCCGGGAAGGGGGGGCTCAGGCAGTGGACGCCTTCACTGCATACCCGGGCGAGGCGGCTCTGCACAGAGAGGCAGTGGCTGTGGGGCAGCGTCCTTGCCTGTGGAAGGCCTGCAGATATCCCTGCCTGAAACCCTGGAGAAGCACGGCTGCCGGTCAGTGCTGACAATACTAGGCTACATGGGCCATGGGCCCGGCTCAGCCCAAGGCAGCTTCCGATGCTCCCAAGCAAAGGAGGCAGTGGAACTTGTCACCTACATTTCAGGCACAGGAGGACAGGAGAGCCCAACCACTACAAAAAGGACCAAAGTGACATTTTGGGGTGACTGACATGGTCTGCAAGGGCCAAGAATCCAAAAGGAGGTACTGGTGGGAGGGTAACCAAGTTGCAGGAACTTTTCTGGAGCAAATTTGGCCTAAATGCCGCTCAGAGGATGGGCATCCCACACACAGGCCGCTGTTTGGCCACAGAACAGCCGCTGCAAAATGGGGGACTACAGCGAGGGCGCCTGCACACCCTCCTTGCCTCGTGCGGATGCCAAACCAGCCATCATAACTAAGAGAATTTTTACAATTTATCCTTTAGACAAAACAGCCCCAGGAAGTTGCAATTTGGGGCGAAAATCTGTGCAGGGAAAGAGGTGTGAGCGTGCACATGGCTTTTCCTGAGGGCTGTCTTGCTTCTCAGTGTGGCTCCTTTAAGCTGCTTTTTGTGCCTGGCAAGGGAAAATATGGCAATACCGGCACTGCACACCTTCAAGGCGCTGCTGAAAGTGCCGTGCTGATAAGCAGGACGGGTCTCAGGGAAGGAGGCACGCACGCAAACTTCCACCGCAAGCAGCTGGCACTGGGCAGCGGTCAAAGGGCCTTATGCAACCGAGCATCAGGAGTCGCTTGAACCCACGTTCAACTCTGCCTGGCCTTGCTCGGGAGGATGGCCCATGTGATGCGAGGCACCGGCAGCAGCTGCCCCCCCCCCCCCGCTGCAAGCTCGCTCTGTCTCTGAAGTAGGGCAGCGTGCAAGCCAAGAATGAAACTCCCGCTTACCAGTCACAAGCAAAAGCAAGCCACAGCGTCTGAGTCATTCATAACACTTGCAGGCAGCAGAGAGAGAGGTGCATGGGTGTGATCTGTATCAGAGAGGAAGCTAAAAATAGCCCCTCTGGCTGGCCCAGGCACCCTGCCGAGATGGGAGCCGCCCGCCTTCGGAGATGGGGGGCTACAAGGGGGGCGCTCTGACTGAAGAGGCTCATGCTGCTGTGGGCCTGTGTGGGCAGGCGGGATGGATGCATCATCAGGGTGCAGAGCGCCTAGGAAAGGGGTCGCTTTACAGGCCCTTGCACCTCTCCTCCTCCAAGTGCCAGATTAGTCCCCAAGCCCAGGACAAAGCTGAGGTGCATCCGACAGGTGCTATGTGTCCTCTCCTGCCCCTGCCCTGGATCGTTGCTCAGGGCAGGACCCTTCCTCTTGCACGCTGCAGAGCCCGGTGCCCGCCGATGGCAGGGCACCAACAAAGCCCAGGAGACGCCCTGTGTGGCTGTGCACAGGCCGGGAGATCAGGTGCTCCTCCGGTCCCCACCGCCGGGGCACCCGTGAGCCAGCCAGCTGGGCATGTTGCTTTGCCCACGCCAGCTTGCTCTCTCCGAGTGGGATGGCTGCTGACATGCCGCCTGCACCCCCGTTCCGCACTTCCTACAGCCATCCACACCTGCTGATACGACCTCCTTGCACCTCAGAACTGGGTTATTGTGCTACATTTTGGAATTTCCATGCAAAGTATTCTGGTCAGAATTTA